GGTTCGGGCCCCGGGGTGGTTTTATTGCGCGAGCGCCCGCCACCGATGCCCACAGGCTCCGGCTAATGGCTTATTTTGGGGGGGGGGGGGGTGAGGAGGGGCGGGGGTGTGTCATCGTGATTAGGGTTGTGTTGCGTCGTCAAGCATGGCGTCAAGACACGAGAGCGGTCGTAAGCGCGCGCGCTCGCGCGCGCGCTTCAGCGCTGCGGGGCTTCGCGCGTGCCCGCGTCGGTAGTCGGTGTGTTTTTGTGGATTGTGCGCACAGCGAACTGCGTTACTCATACTGCGATGTTCTTGCCATAGCAGTACGAATATGCCTCACGAACGACACAGAGACACTGCACTTTATAACACGTAACACCCCCGCGAACACAACGGCAGCGGCGGCTCTGTCACAGTTCACAGATGTGAGATTGGCGATTTAGCAACTGTCAGAATCGCTGTCGAGCGGCTGCGAGTCCGGGGACAGGTCTGCCTCGTCGCAGAGCGGGGGCAGTCGCTTCGCCTCGCCGTCCTGAATGATCGTCGCCTCGGCGTGCCGGTCCTCGGGCGCCCTGTACTCAAAGCCGAGCGCGGCGAAGATGTCCGCCTCGCTCTCGGCGGGCACGATGTTGCGCGTTCCTCGAACCTCCTCTCCGCGCGAGTTGATGCCGCCGCGGTTCGCGAGGCCGTGGTCGGAGAGGGAGTACCCCATCTTCTTCGCGTAGAAGCGCATGCTCCGGTTGAAGTGGTCGTTGCCTGTGAAGTAGAGCAGCGCGTACGCAAACTCCTCCCTCGGGTAGACCTTGGGCGGGGGGGGGGGGGGGAGCCGCTCAGGCCGGGGCCCTGGGCCGGGGCGAGGGGCGGGCAGGTGCACTCGCCTTGAGGTCGAGCCGCCGGTGCGTGGCGTAGCCCTCGAGCCGCACGATGCCCATGTACGAGCAGCTCTCGCCCTCCTCCTTCTCCTTCTTCTCGAAGGGGTCGTGCAAGTGGTGCATCTCGTGCCCCGCGGCGGAGAGCGCGGCGCAGACGCGCGGCAGCAGGTCGCACGAGCGGCCTCCATCCCGGCGCGTGATGAGCACGTCGACGTCGCCGCTGCTCTCCTTGCCGCGGCGGTACGAGCCTGGGGACGCGGCGAGGGGGCCGCGGG